TTGGATTCAGACAGACATGGCTGTACCACCGTTTTTAAAATGAGAACAGAATTCCACAAATATGACTGTCATCTCCTTAAGACAGAGAAGACCCATGACAAGGAAGCAGAGATGTGGGGAGAGAGCCAGTCAGCCTCAGGGCCTAGAGTAAAGTTTAATAGCAGAAGGGACCTGGATTTCACCAGAAAATTCAAACACACTGAGAGCTTGCAGCTCAGAGCTCATGTGGGTCCCTTTCACATCCAGCATCACAGTGCATGATCTGGAAGAAAAGGTCAGGGTAGACATGGGGTCCTGCAAGGATGAGGAAGATTTTTTTTCTTTATTCAATTATTTCAGACAGTGTCTCTCTATGTAACCCAAACTGACTTCAGACTCATTATGTAGCCCAAAGTGGCCCTGAACTCATGATCCTCCTGCTTTTACCTCTGAAGTGCTGGGGTTACAAGTACGTACCACCAAACCTGCTTGGAAAATGGAGCTCTTTAATAGAGCAAGAAGATTATAAAGGGCACATAGAAAGGGCTATGACTTAGAACTGGTCAGGATCAATTTGTGCTCACATCAGGCTGACTGCCACTGACTTAATAGGTAAAGACTGGAGATGATGCATTCTCTTTGAGTGTAAAGAGGCCCCTGAGCAGTCATGTCTCTGTCCTGTTAGCCTCTAAGGCAGTGGTTCTCAAAGTGGGAGGGGGGCGGATTTTAACCCCTGGCGATGTCTGGAACCAATTTTGGTTGTGAAAACACTGGGTGGGAATGTTAGTGACATTTAGAGATACTGCAAAGCATCATCCACAACCCAGGACATCCCCCTCTACAAAGAATTATCCAGTTGTAAATGTCAACTTCCAAGTCCAAGACAGTGCTCTAAAGCAAATTAGTGCAGAGAAACAACTGCCTTCTTCCCCACTGCCTTATACTTCACCACAATACCCTGGCTGTCCTCTAAAATGAGAATATTCTATGCATGCACATTCCTGTAAATCAGGAAAAGGAAGATAATGAACCTGAGCTCACTACTAAACTTTCTAAGATTCAGTATTTTAGTCTAAAAAATGAGGGTACAAATATTTACCTCCTATGGTTGTCGCCGAGATTAAATGAGTAATTTAACAGTTTACATTCAAATATTTATTGAATACCTACACTATGTGCCAGGTATTCAGAGTCCCAAGATAGTCTTTGATATTGAAGACTTAAGTCTAGTGAGTTTTAAAGCACACAGCAGATTTTCAAACAAAAGCTCATTTCCTCACCCTTACTCTTCCTCTCCCTTATTAGACAAGGACCTAATCCTCTTTTTTCCTTGTCAGAGAGAGGGAATTAATAACTTATTCCTTATTAAGAACTACCTGTATCCGCATTATCAGTTTGTGCTCTTTTACTGTTTCTCATCATTAGTGAGAAACATTTCATCATTTCAGTACTCAACTACAGCACTGAAAGCAACACATGATATTTATTTAATTCTTTTACAGTTTCATACATGTATATAATGAGTAGTAAGTATATATATATCATCACCTTCATAGTAAGTATATATATTGTCACCTTCATCTGCCGTTACCCTCCCTCATTCCCCTCCCACCTTCTACTGAAGCCCTTCTTCTTCCCAACAAGTCCCCCTTCTACTTCTGTGTGTATGACCCACCAATATAATGTTCTTAATCATCAAAAGAAGTTTAGGTCTGGGAGTGTGACTCAGTGATAGAGTGCTTGGCCCTGTTTTGTTTTGCTTTGTTTTGTTTTGTTTTGTGAGACGGGGGGGGGGGCGTCTCATGCAGCATAGGCCAGCCTCAAACTCATTATGTAGCTGAAGATGACCTTGAAGTCTTGATCCTCCTTCTCTATCTTTCAAGTGCTGCGATCACAAGTATCTGCTACCACGCCTGGTTTATGCGATGCTCAGGATGGACCACAGGGCTTAGTGCATGTCAGGCAAGCACTCTATAGAGTCACAGACCCAATCCTTGACCCTAGTTTTGATCTTCAGCACCACACACAAGAAAATTCACCCTTTTTATGATGCTGTGAGATGATGCTTAAGGAAATTCTTCATGGCTTCTGTTTGGTATATCTGAGTTGTTACCATCACTTTGCACTTTGAAGCCACTGTTGAGCAAAATAAGTATTACTTGAACCATGTACTGCAATATTTAAATAGTCAACCTAACATCCAGGTAACTTGAAATGCCACAGCACAGCATTCCAACACTTTTGCCACATTACTCAGAACAGTGCCAACTTAAAACTTACAAATTGTTGGGGCTGGAGAGATGGCTCTGCAAGTTAAGAGCACTGGTGTTCTTGCAGAGGACCCAGGTTCAGTTCCCAGCATCCACATGGTGGTTGACAACCATCCCTACTTCCAGTTCCAGGGGATCTAGCGCCATCTTCTGACCTCTATGGGCATTTCATGCAGGTAATACACGCATGCAGGTAATACATGCATGCAGGTAATACACTCATAAAAAATAATAAAAATTTACAAATTGTTTATTTCTGGAATTTTCCATTTAGAAGTTTCAGACCAAAGTTAAACACAAGTAGTTAAAACTGTGGGCAACTAAAGCTACAGAAAGCAAAACCATGGGAAAATAGAGGAGTATTATACTTCCTCATCCCTCAGTTTCCTTTCAAGTTCCTTCCCTCACCATAGTGACAAGTAACAGCCTAACGGCCAAAACTAAGAATTGGTTTCCAGTCCTACACTAGACCCTAGACCACTCTGTAGCCTTTGAAACAGCTGGTCACCTCCTCCTCTTTGAAAATCTTTTCTCTCTTGCCTTCCTTCTCCAACTTCTTCCTCTTCCATGAATTTTCCTTCTCATAGTCTTCCCAGCTCCTCCCCCTCCACTGCGTAAATATCTGTCTTAGTTCATTTTATGCTGTCATAACAAAATGTGTGAGACCAGATGCCTGATAAATAATAGAGGTTCACTTTAATTCATGGTTCTGGAGGCTGCAAAGTCCAAGAGTATGGCATTGGCATTTGATAAGGTCTTACTTCCAGTATCATAATGTAGCTGAGGACATCACATGGTGAGGCAGAACAAACTTGCCAGAGAGAGTAGCTTTTTAGTAAAAAAGGCACTCCCAGCATAACCCATTTATCTAACTATCCATCAGTGGATGGTCCAACCACGAGGGCAGAGGCCTAGTGAGCCAATCACTTCCCAATGTCCCACCTCACAATATTACTAACATACAAATTTGGGGATTAAGCTTCTAATGCATGGATTTGGGGGACACATTCAAGCCATAGCAGCATTGAATTTGGAGGGGTTCTGTTCATCTCTTTTCTCACTTTAGACCATTTTTTAAAGATGAGCCTATCTTTTTGATCCCACTAAGATTATTTTGGCTATTATCTGTAAACTGTCAACTCCCAATTTGCTACCTTAAAACTCTATTTCTCTTTAGAACTATGCATTCATATTTTGAATTTCCTATTACACAAGTCTATCTAGTGTCTTTGCTGTGACAAAATACCTGAGCAAAACAAGGGAGGAAGGATTTATTTGGACTCACAATTTCAGAGGGTTCAGCTCATCATGACAAGGAGGACATGGCAGAAGAGAGCAGTTCACATCCTAGCAGCTAGCAAGGAGGGAGAGGGAGAGGGAGAGAGAGAGAGAGAGAGAGGGAGAGAGAGAGAGAGAATGAATATGAATAAATGCCTGCACTAGCAGCTTTTTTCTTTTGCCCCTTCTAATACCCCTGAACCACCAGCCTATCAATAGTGCCACCCACATTTAGGGTGGGCCTTCTACTCTTAGTTAATCCTGTCTGGAAACAACCTCAGAGACATACCCAGAGGTGCATTTTACTAATCTCCTAGATAAATCTCCTAGATACCTCTCAATCCTGTCAACTTGCCAATTAAAATTAACATCACAAGACCATCTCTTGTTACCTTGACATCCAAACACATCTCTTTAAACCAGAAAATTCCACAAAAGGTTCATGGCCATCTCGTGCAAAAGGTCTTCAGTTTTTCTCCAAGAGTCTCCAATAGCCTTAACAGTTCCAACATTATTCAAAAACCCCACTCCAGAGTGTCTTCTGAGACTCAAGGCAAACTCTTAGCTATAAGTCCAAGTTCCAGGCTTTTCCAACCTCTTGGAGGCTCCACTGCAACACAGATGCCACATTCATAACTTCATGCATTGCCATCTCTGGAGCAGTATGTTAGGATCCTGACACTACCACATACTGCCTGCACTCCTGGGCTTTCCTTTGAAATCTGAATAGAAACTTCCATAACCCCATGACTCCTCCATTCTGTAAACCTGCAAAACCAGCATTATATGGACCATGGTAATGTCTTCTACCAGCCTGAGCAGTAGCCAACCCCTCTTGAACCAGAGCTACAGGTCTCTGAGCACTTTCCCTACATGCCCTTGTGTGAACAGTGTACCCCAGAACACACACTCTCCCTCTCTGTCTTCTCCCCCTCTCTTCTCTCCCCTTTCTTCTCCTTCCTCCTTCCCCCTCTCTCTCCCCTTCCTCCTTTATTTCCTTTTTAAAGCAAGCTCTGGCAAGTTTTATTAAAGAAAAATGAAATTTTTTGGTATGGTTTACTTTTTACCAGTCTATTCTGGTATGTTTCTAATATCAGAATCACCTAGAAAAAAAAAGTAGTTTTTCAATTCATTTAAAGGACACTGGCACTCACAACATTTCCCGACAGTGCCTACACATCCTTTAGTCAACACAGCAGATTAACACTGATTCTCTGCAAATTATTGCGGTAGCTGCATTCTCACTTTTCTTAAGGTTGATAACTGATAACATAGAATATTGGTCATTAGCCAGGTATGGTGGAGCATGCCTTTAATCCCAACAGAGGCAGGCAGATCTCTGAGTTCAAGGCCAGCCTGGTCTACATAGTGAGTTCCAGGACATTGTGGGGGGTGGCTACAGGGAGACTCTCTCAAAAAGACTAAAAAAAAAGTCACACAAAATGATCATATAATCGATCAGAATCAGAACTGGTTTATCAGCAACATTTAGAAAACCACATCTAGGGAAAGAACTAGGTTTGGAGATACATGCACGGTCTTAACATAGAAAATATTTAGCCTGTCCTGATCATCACAAGATCAGAACAGAGAGAATATTTGCAGTCAAAGTCTGTCAAATGAGTCAAAACCTTTACATCATTGAGGCTCCTTTGTTACCATCACAGTGTGTAGTTGGCTTCTCTTGAATGGCCCTAATCTCCTTAGCTTACTTATACTTTCCTTGGCCCCAACTTTGTACAAATTTGTTTTTCTGGGCAAACTCAAACCTATAATCATTTTCATTCACAATTCTTACAGCAAATGCAACTTGTTATTAATTCAGTTCTAAGCAAGGAAATTTACAGAAAAAAGCCATATGGCCAAAACAAAAAAGAGAGGCAGCAGAGATGGCCCAGTGGTTAAAAGTGCTCACAACATAATCATGAGGACCAGTTTGGATCTCAGCACCCACGTAACAAGTGAGGCATCATGCGCATGCCTGTAGCCTCAGCTCTGAGGGGGGCTTCCTGGCCTCCTGCCTAGCTGACAAAAAGTGATTCCCCAGGTTCAGATAGTTCCTACCTGGAAGAAATAGGCAGAGTCATAGAGGAGAACACCTGACACCCTCTTCTGGCCTTCACAGATGTGCACAGGCATGCGTGTCCACACACAAATGTGCGTATCCACTCACACAGACGCATACACATAAAATAAATAAATCTTTTTTTAAAAAAACTCAATTAGGACACCTATACTAAAACCTCACCCACCTGGGGCTCAGGGACCATTGCAGAAGAGAGGGTGGAAAGATTGTAAGGGGCAGGGGTGTTAGATGGCCACAAGGAAACAGAGTTCTCCAGGCTTCTGGGAACTTGCTCATATGAACTTACAGCAATGGTGACAGCATGCACAAGACCCATGCAAACTCAGACAAAAACCCAGTACAGAACTGGGGAAATGGGCAAGAAGCCCCAACCCTAGCTGAGGAACTAGTGGCAGATAATCACCGCTGGGTGAGGGAGAGTTCCTATTGTTTTACAGAGTGACTCTAGATAGGCTGACCAGCCTGGAGTACATGAACTTACACCAAAGGACATCTGGGGACACAAACTTGACCCGATAGGACTATATGACAAGATATATGAAATCAGTGGGAGGGGATGTTGGGGTGCAGATGGGGGAAGGGGTCAAAATATAATTAAGATATATTAAATGCACAAAAATTCTATAAGAATATATATTGAAAAAACTGAAATCCTACCTCAATGATAAAAGACTCTCCTAATTTTGTAAAAGAAAAAAATTGCAGAGAAATACATGCGAAGCCATATCATAATAAATTTTCCTAAGACAAAAGACACAGAAAAAAATCTTGAAGTCAAAGAGAAAAGATGCATCACTTATAGAGAGTACATTTCTCATCAGAAACATGCAGAGCCAAATGAAGTGGCACATTTTTCAAGTGCACAAGCAAAATGAACTGTCAGAATACAGCAGAAGGCATATAAGATGAGCTTCGAGCATGTTACAGTGCCAGAAGGTAGGAAGCTGCCCCTCAATACAACAACAATGGTACGAGTAGGTGAAAGGGGCAGAAGAGCAAACTACAAGAGCTTCTGTGGTCATCCTAGAACAATCTGAGCAGGAAAATAAAGTGGTATTAAATTATAACCCAGAGTATAAAATACATGTCCGTGAGTCCATGCTAATATAAATAAATGATTGATGTACTGGGTAGATAAATGGGCAGATAGACTGGTCTATACATACACATACACACATATATACATATACATATACATATACACTCATACATACATACGTACATACACAAGGGAAAAGAGACAATCTTCCATGCAGAATTCTAAATAATTTCTACAGATACTCTTCCCTCAGAGAAGTGAAATGTAGCTCTTTGGGGGTGCAGTGAAAAGAGTAACTTAATTGTGAAGACAATAAAGTCTGACAAACACCACCCCATCCAGGTGATAAAGATCAACACTGATAATAGTGGGGCATTTTGATCATAGGTATCCTTAACATGGTATGATGAAAATTTGTTTACCGTTATAGTCTTCCTCCCCCAAATCCAGAACTCAGTTTAATTGTGACAAATGTATCAAATGAATTCCATTATTTTATAGAACAGCTGACAAGTAATTGTCAAAAACACCAATTTTTATTTTAAAACATCTGAAAAAAATATCACAACCCAGAAGAGCCCGAGGAAACATGATGACTAAATGTAATATGGTGTTGTGGATAGTATCTTAGAAAAGATAAAGAACAACAGATAAACCTGAGGGACTCTGGGGACTGAGGAGATGGTTCTGCAGGTAAGAACACTTGCTGTACAAGCATGAGGACATGAGCTCAAATCCCCTGCACCCATGTAAAAAGCTAATCCTTTCTGCACGTGCCTTCCATTGTTATAGGAGGCAGAGACAAGAGACTTGCTGGAGGGTGCAGGCTGCCAGCCTGGCTCAAGGTTCAGTGAAGAGACCCTGCCTCAAGGGAGTAAGGTGGAGCATGATAGAGCAGGACACATGAAATCATGAATCCTGTGACCTCCACATGCATTCTCCTCTCTCTCTCTCTCTCTCTCTCTCTCTCTCTCTCTCTCTCTCTCTCACACACACACACACACACACACACACACACACACACCAATAATACTTTTAATTAAAAACATAAAATAACAATACTCTAGATATGGTAATTTATGTCTGATACCCACACACACACACACACCAATAATACTTTTAATTAAAAACATAAAATACCAATAGGCTAGATATGGTAATTCATGTCTGTAATCCAAGCACTCAGGAGGCTCAGGTAGAAGGATCTCAAGTTTGAGGCCAGTCTGTGTTACAAAGTGAGAAACTGTATGAAAAACAAATGAATTTTTTTTATTGAGCTTTCTAAATTTCATACAACATTTCCCACTCAAATCCAGACCTCCTACCCCATCCATGCCTCCCCCATCCCCCCACCAAACCCTATGCACTCTGCCATACATGCCAAGTCCTATTCGTTCAGGTGTTTGTACCCAAATGTCCTTCAGTGTAAATGTGTCCACTGGACTCTAGTCAGCACAGTAAAATAAAAAAGAGAAAAACAGAAGAAACAAACAATAAAATGTCAGACTCAGACCTTAGCATACTGATAATCACACTGTTACAGGTTTGTGTTCTCCAAAAAGATATGTTGAAGCCCTAAACCTCGGGAACTTTAAAAGTCACCCTTTTTGAAGATAGAATCTTTGCAGATGTAGCCAAGTTAAAACAAAGTCATTAGGGTAAGTCCTAATCTAATAAAGCTAATATTCTCATAAGAAGGGAGATTAGAGAATGATGCAGAGAAAGAAGACAGATGCTGAGGGAGCACGGCCATGTGAAGATAGGGCAGAGACTAGAGTCAAGCTGCTGTGAGCCAAGGATTGCCTGAGACCATGCCACCAGAAGCTGGACGAGACAAGAATCCTTCCCTAGAGGCTCTGGATGACATATGGCCTTGCCAATAACTTGATTCTGGACTCTCTAGAACTGTGAGACAATAGATGTTTATGGTTTTACACTCTCAGCTTATATTAGTTTGTTACAGCAATCCTAGGACACTAATATAATTACCTAAAATGCAAATGGTCCAATTAAAAGACAGAGTTCAGTAGAATAAACAAAAAAATCATGAACTAAATATATGCCATTTACAAGAAAAACACTTAAAACTTAAGGTAGGTTGAAAAAAGGAAGTTTAAAAGCTGTATTGGACTGGAGAGATGATTCAGCAGTTGAGAGCACTGGCTGCTCTTGCAGAGGACCCAGGTTCAATTCCCAGCACCCACATGGCAGCTAACAATAGTCTGAAACTCCAGTTCCAGGGGATCCGACGCCATCTTCTGACCTCCTTGGGCATTGAACAATATGGGTACACTTATATACAAGCAGGCAATACACTCATACACATAAAATAAAAATATTTTTAAAAATAAAAAAACTGTATGCCACAAAAAATATTTTAAAAAGTGTGGGTTAAAATGGTATATATCAACCCAGAGTATATCCACTGCAGTATGGTCAGAGAAAATCAAGGTGCAAGATATTCTACATGTGTGCATGTGTGTCTACATGTATAAAATAAGCTCATTTTTATAAGAAAATATTCATTACTGGGGCTGGAGAGATGGCTCAGTGGTTAAGAGCACTTGCTGCTTTTGCAGAGGACCCAAGTTTGGTTCCAAGCAACTACGACAGACAGCTCACAATGACCTATAACTCTAGCTCCAGGGGATGCCTTTGGCCTTCATGGGCACTTGGATATGTGTGTGTGTATGTATGTGTGCATATGCACACTCATCAAAACTGTGTAAAAGGCAACATATATTGGTCCCTCAGTGTTCCAGTGGGGTGGGTAGGAGGATGTGAAAGGGAAACATCGTGATGAGCATGATGATGATGACAGCTAGGATGATTATTGATTTGCAAACAAGAGCATACCAGATTTTTGTTTTTATTTTTTGAGACAAAGTCGTGCCATGTAAACCAGGCTTCCTTGAGCTTATAGACATCCTCTTCCCTCTGCCTTCTAAGTGCTAGGATTCCAGGCATGTGTCACAATGCTCAGCAGGTTTTATTATTGCAATTATTTTGCAGTGCCTTGCATCAGGACAAATATGCTTAGTATAATGTCAGTGAGAAATACATAAAACTAAAGAATGCTTTTCTCAAGTTGCTGCTTTGCTAAACTTTTGCTAAAATACTTTCTGAACTTATAAAGATATCTAAAATTTTTAGTGAGGAAGCAAAATTAGGCAAGATGTTTATTTAGTGGGATGATAGGAACTCCTTTTCGAAGATGTTTAAGGAAGTATAGCCCAACTGAGTTAGGTACCATGCTTATTGGCATATTTTCCAGTTTCTATAGTTGTCTCTTTTTTACATTGAAAAGATAAGAAAAATATTTTACATGTGATATCTGTTTTACATGTCTCATTACATACACAAGAAAGGGGAGAGGGTATTAATTTTATCTTCTTGTATCTTGGACTGTTTCAGTTGTTACAGTGAGAACATACTGGAGTTTCAGTCGGAAAGAAAATTTGTTATCAAAAAATTTAAGGA